CGCAGTCGGGCGGGTCACCCAATTCCCCGAACCCAAATTTCCCCGAACACGAATTCCCCCGAACGCACCAGTGGACTGCGCTTGTTCTCATGGCAGTTCTTGGTCAATTCGTCACCCAAATCAAAGGATTCGGAAGCCTTGTTGTTCTTGACTCATACTCAGTGGCTTGTGCTGTCTGCTGTCTGCTGTCTGCTGTCTGCTGTCTGCTGTCTGCTGTCTGCTGTCTGCTGTCTGCTGTCTGCTGTCTGCTGTCTGCTGCCTGAATGGCGCAAGCACATGGACCGCAGTTGAATGTTGATCTTGCCGGCCGGTTTGACATCTGGTATTCCGCCAAGATCTGCCAAGATCTGCCTTTGGCAAACCAGTCGCTAAGGCTGGCTGGCTGGTTGGCTGGCTAGTCTTATTGATTAGGCAGCTCTAGCAAGCCCGGAGCTGTAAATCCGCCCACAGCCGCGCCCGCACCCAGACACCGCCACTTCACAGCGGGACACTTTGCTTTCCTTTCCTTCTCTTCTCTTGTCCCACTACCCAACCCAAGTCCAAGTCTCTGTACAACACCAGGTCAACGGCGCACTTGATCAACAGCGCACAGGTCAAGGCCCGTGCTCACTCAACGTCCTTGGGAGCCCATCCGTCAGTGGCCTGGATCTCGTGGATCTTTTCCTGCAAGTTTCCCATCTGCTGCATGTATTCAGATTGGCAATCAAGCTCCGGTAATGACAACATAATATCGCAGTCTATAACGATGGATTTCTTCAATTCCACCAATTCCACCCACTCTTGTCGTCAGATTGGGCTTAAATCGAGCCCGGTGAGCTAGTCGTACAGAAGCTCATCGTCCGGAGTGTTATACGACTCGAGATTGTCGCATCCGGCTCATGTTCAAGAGGGCAGGAGGTCTCTAGTGTCGACGGTGATGCTGACAAGTTCGGGGTTCTACACGGTCAACAACGACGGAGGGTTTGATATCTCTCGGAAGTACACCTTTGGGGATTCGTTCTGTGGCGCCGGGGGCGCTACATGCGGCGCAGTACAGGCCGGCCTCGTCCCCAAGTGGGCATTTGATCTTGACGAAGCCGCTGTTCACATCTACCGTACTCACTTTGGTAAGGGAGCTATCGGCCCACCAGGTTCAAGCACGCCACGAGCAAAACGGTCGCGCTCTTCAGTCATCGTCGCCAACCTCTTCTCGCCTTCTCAGTTCTTCTCCGCAATAGGTTTAATCACTCTCAGTCATCATGGTAAGACAGATCCGCCTGTGACTTGATCCCAAGCCCGGACAGCAACGCTAACCAGCGCGACACAGTCCTCTCCTCCGGCGTCACCACTATATGTACCCGCCTCGCCGTCCACTCATTCTGCCGACAGGGTCACCGTCAGCAGCAGCCGGGCTAGCAGTATCCAGGTCGTGGGGAAGAGGCAGGTAGATGATTTGGAGATTGTTGGGATAGAACGGTTACTAACCCATCGACCAAACCCGACCCCCGCTTCGCCTCGCCGGCGCCCAACACGCTCCGCACCCATCCTCGCGCGCGCTCATGCCTATTCTCGAAGATTCGTGCGGACCAGAGCAAGATGGAGCGTATTAGGGGTTCGTTGCCGATGTGGAAGAGTGGCTGAGGACACCTTGCCAGACCGGGTAGGCGGAGGAATCAACTTCTACTCCCTCCATCGGGGCCGCGAACATAACCGTCGTGACTGTTGTCTCACGGCGCGCCACGCCGTCCGCGAATTCGAATTCGCCCATGCCAGGAGTACAGTCTACAGCCTTGAGACCATGGTCCATTCTTTCTGCCGAAATCCCGGCTACCAGAACGTTGCCGACCATGACGTTGCTAAAATGGAACGGCTGGGTATTCCTTATATCCCTCCCCGCCGACAGGCAATACCGTATGATCATAGACTCTGCTATGTGCAAGTCCGGAACCAAACGGTCACCAGTGTGGAGCAGTTCCTGCAAATCGTCGCAGGAGAGACGAACCCGAGTGCTTGAATCAATCTAATCGCGAACTTCCAGAGACCGATTGCGCAGCATCGGGATGTGGTGGAGAATAGTGTTGCGCAGAGATTCGATGTGGAAGAAGGGAGATGCTGGGAACCGCGAGCCAATCGTGCATCGATCGAATAGTTGGATGGTTGGACGGAGAGAACAGAAAAGTCAAGCACAAGCGCTGTCGGAGGAGAGGGAACAGAGAGAGCAACAGGTGGGAAAAGGCCTGACTCATAGGTCTCGGTCGGGGGGTATCTCAGCAGTGAATATCGAAAGTCAGTGAATCTTGACGAGAGGGAGTGGTATGTCCCGTCTATCAGTAGAGGCAAGCCGTCGACTGTGGTCTTCGGTCTGATCGACTAGAAAAGGCGTCGCGGCCTGTGATACGGAATAGATCGTTCGATTCCCCGGCCCGCCATGGTACGACTCAACGCAACCGAATGTGAACCGACACCTCAATGCAACAGGACCAAACTGGCGTCTCGACACACCAGGACACGGACTGCTGTCTCGGCACAACAGGACACGAACTAGCAGCTGAATGCGACCGAACTTGAACTGGCGACTCGACAGAACTGAACACGAACTGGCGACTCAACACAATAGGGCATGCATGAGCTGATGAGTCAACCCACCAGAACATGAACTGTCGACTCGGCGCAGCAGGAGAGAGGCGTGGGCGGTGGTCATAGGAAGAGTATGCCGTAGAGTAGCACCGGTGGCTGCAAGTGTCGGTCATTCAGAGGCATGAAGGTTTACAACGTACGTTGACTGTCAAAGAGGTTGATGCCGTTCTTGCCGCAGCATCTCTTGATGTAAGAGGCTGTTGGTGTAGAAGATCTTGTTGCAAAGAAAAGCAATTTAAAGCAAAGCATAGCAAAGCATAGCAAAGCATAGCAAAGCATAGCAGACCCCGGATAATCTATCGCCGAGGTGTCCAAGCATGTACTGTCCTGTACTGTGCTGCCTGATACCAAGCTTATCTTGGCTTGCCAACGACCATGGTATGGAGATGAGCATCGGGTGACGGGACGCCCCAGTTGAGTGTGAGTGCCCAAGCAACTTAAGTGATCTTCTTGAGAATCGTTGGATTTGAATATGCCGAGAGTGCCAACTTTGGCATCAAGGATTTCAGGATCCGGTCGGTCGCTGCCCACTTCGGGTGGGTTGGTACAATACCAGCAGACGAGCGAGCGAATGATGATTCGACAGCTGCAGCACCCCGAGGCAGTTGACAGTTGCAGTTGAGCCTTGGGGTTTGGAGCGGGTGGAATTCCCAAGCGAATGAATGCCAGGTTGTGGGGTGTAAGTTGCAGAGTGTCAAGTTGCTGTGGCAAAGGATGGGGGAGTAGAGCGCTGACGTCAGGGACAATACGGCAGTCGAGGCGGTCGAGCAGGAGTTGGTCGTGTGCTGTGTGCTGTGTCCTGTTTCATATCCCCGCCTGTAGTCCGTACCATTCCCATCCATTACCACCCACAACCCACAGGACAAGCCAAGTCTACTAGTGCTTACACCCCTTGACTTGACTTGACTCGTGACTCGTGACTTGTGTCTGCAGGCCTGCAGTACGGAGGATGGATTATTGTGGCTGGGCTCGCTGATGGCTGGAGCGGAGGACAGAGGGGCAAAGAATGAGGGGCGGGCCGTGTAGTACCAACTCTTCTACCTTTTTTCCCCACCAAAACCAAAACCTCTGTGCACCGTGGCACCGCACCGCACCAACATCACACCAACAGACCATGAGCATGCCACGCCGAGACCTGATTGCCCTGTGACATACGACGTTGCACTTGGTCGTCGCCGCCACCGCCGTCGCCGTCGCCGTTCCCTTCGTCGTTCCCGTGGTCATATTCGTCGCCGTCGCAGTGGTCTTCAGTGTCGATATTACCGTCGTTTTCGCCGTCGCCTTCCACGGGCAGAATGGGACAGCCTCGCGGAGCTGGAGCTGGAGCCGGAGCACGTGAGTAAGACCAGACCCACGGCCGGGAAGCAACAGTACTCCGGACTAGTGAAAGTCGTTTGTTGTCACGGGATCGCGCCGGGGCCGAAGGATCACATGCACCACTGTATAGTACACTGGACAGGGCGTGGCTCTTTGCTGTAGAACACTGGACGGGGTGTGGCTCCTTGGACGGGGTGTGGCGGCTGGTGGTGTGGCTTTTTGCGGAACATGGTTGTTGCGTCCCCGAAGACCGGTTCATTCATCCTCATAGGCCTGACATTGACTTTAGGCTGAATACTGTAGTCCCGAGGTCCGCCCACCCGCAAGCGCCGAGGCTGAGGCTGAGGCTGCGGGCAAGGCTGGGCGCGCGGGAGGAGCTGAACTTGACCCAGCACGTGACTGACTGCCTTGACCTGGATACATATTATTAGTATCACACTCACGCTCTCAGTCTCGGTCTTGGTCTCGGTTTTGGCCTCGGTCTGGCAGTAATTGCATGTGAACCTGCGAACCTGCGAGGTGGATGCAGAGATGCATAATTTCCATCACAATCACAGTCGCAGTCACGATCACGTCTCACATGTGCGAATTTGGATGCATGGTGATTGGGGCCGAAGGTGGCAAGGCGCCAATGGTCGCCAATCATGGCCAACCGTCGGCGGGCTGATTGGTGGTCCCGTATCCCACCGGCGCCTCCGCACCTCACCGCGGCTTCAGCCCCCGCGTTTTCCCAGGGAAAGATCAAATTGGCGCTGGAGCTAAATGGCCGGTGGACTCGGTCGGACACTTTGTCGCCATGATATTGGTGGGCCATGTGCTGTGTGGCTTGCGGCACAGTGCGGCACGCACCTTGCATCCAGCTCTGGGCGCGTCGATCCCGGTCAGACCATGGTTCTGAATGCACATGTCCATCCCTCAGCTGGCTATAGAAGGCCACGCTCCTCCCTCCTCTTGCCCCGGATCATCCACGTCCTCATCCTCCCAGATTGCAAATGTCATATCCTGCGAAGCACCGAACTGTCCGCAATCCAAATCTTTCTCAGACCGCCACCACCACCACCGCCACCATGCCGGGGAATACCCACCTTGCCCTCGAGCTCGAACGCATCAAACAGTTTCTCATCACCCACGTCCCGGCCGGCATCCCCATCAAGAAGGTGACCAACCTGGACCGAGAGGAGCCCATCTACGTGTGCCACGTCGACCCTCTCCCGGACGCGGCCAAGGAGACCCTCTGGCAGGTTTTCCTCACCGCCACCACTCGCGCCGGGAGGCGAAACACGGTCCATCCCTATCCCCACTACCGTGCCGACCAGGGATGGGGCTACTTCTTCATCCTTTCCAACGAACACCGGAATGATCATGCCTATGTCAGAGATCACCACTGGGCCGTCGCCGAGATCGTTCGAGCTTAGATGGTGCGACAGGTGATCGAGCTCGAATGGAAAGGAATGCTTGATGTCTCCATGGATGGTTGGAGAATGGGATGGGATGTGCAGTCCTGGTTTGTTGGTTGTTGTTGTTGATGGGATGGGATGCGCAGTCCTGGTTTGTTGGTTGTTGTTGTTGTTGATGGGATGTCCCGTTGTTGTTGTCGTTATCGTTGTGGTTGTTGAAAGGGGTTTGGGTGAACACTGTTCATTTCCACTGCCGTCATCTGTGACCTGTGGTCTGTGGTCTCTCCAAGCCAACCGGCATAGGATGGATGGAGGTTCTCGGATTAGGTGGTAGTCTTTGCAAGTCTTGAAATAAGTCATGATGAAATGCTTTTGATGTTGATATTGATATTGATGCGGATGTTGATGATGAATCTGATCCACATGTAGATGGTGGGCTCCGGCGGCCTTAGGTTTGGGGTTGAGGGGGCGGGAGGGTGCTCTGATGTGCATTCTTTATCAGACTAGTTGTTGAGTCCTTCACAGCATGAGCGATGCCATATACTGTGGCTTTGTCCCTCCCGCCCCCTCCGGTACCCTCCCGGATATTATAGTGCCCATAGCACTGGTGATCCAGTTGCGCAGGGCGATCGCCTCAGCGGCAAGTCGAATTCTTTTCTTTGTCCGAATCCCAGGATATTCAGTGCCTCAAATTGCTTGAGTTGACTGGTGCCGGCTAGGCCCGGCACATAAAGTCCATGCAGTGTCCGGAATATTCACGATCTTGGAGATCAGGATCAGGATCTTCAGGATGCTTGTCCCAATTCCGGGCTATGCAGTGCCTCAATTTGCTTGAGTTGACTGGATCCTGATCTCCAAGATCGTGGATATTCCGGACACTTCATTGCCTCAATTTGCTTGAGTTGACTGGTGCTGGGCCCGCCCGTTTGCAACATGCATTCCATGCAGGGTCCAGAATATTCACGATCTTGGATATCCAGGATCGGGATATTCAATAGAGATAGAGATGGCAATGGAGATGGTGATGGAGATGGAGATGGCGAGGTAGATGGCGATGGAGATAGAGAGTAATAATGGATTTGAGTTTGAATCCAAAAGTCTCAACTCCATAAATCAAAGTTCCTCGATGAAGACATCGTAAAGCTTCGACTCCATAAATCAGAGTTTGATATAGCATTGCCGAAAACCTCGACTCCGCAAGTCTAGGTTCGGGTTCGATTCGGCCCGACAGTTTTGGCTCCATAGTCATTGATCTGGTCCGCAATGTCAGACAGATATGACAGGACAGGACAGGACAGGAAGAAGATGATTCAGCCCCCGCGGATGGGAACGAGGACGGGGATGGGGGACAAGGATGGGGAAGGGACTCCGTCTGTGTGCGGGCCTGACCTGACCTGACCTGACCTGGTGATCGATCGTATCTCCGTCTCCTTCTCCTTGGCCCCTCCCCACATAGCTGCACAGGGGTTGTCGAAAAGGTACCCGGACCACTTTAGAACAGTCTTGGGAGGCCTTGGTAGTCATGTCAAACTCGGCCCTTCCAGAGCTTGGAGTACATCCTTGAGGTAGCATAGCCACCCCCGCCGTCTAGGAAATGCAGCAGTAGGTGAGCTTGGGCAGTTGGCTGGGCCTCATTTGTCTGCACGGTGGGCTTCAGTCACATCACCAGCTGTAAGATCTGGTATGCGCTTCGTGCATACCATATGTAGGGCTCCTTGGCCGCCATGGACATGGGTCCAATATCTGCCTCTTATGTTGTCGATGACCGATATCATGTCCATGAGACATACCCGCATACTGATCTGAAGCTGCCTGTCCGAGTCCGATACTCATTGGAATTGTCTCCAGAGAGTCTTATCGCCCAGGCAAGCACCTACTTCAGTACTTGGGCGACGATGACGGCGACGAGGACGCAACATTCTCAAGCCAAAGGCAGCTTCAGACGTGTTCGGACTGATGACTACATTCCCGTCTGGCCGGGCGCAATGATGGGATTGTATGTGGTCTTCATGGAGATCATTTCGTCGCGTGTTGAGAACCAATTCATTGGATTGACGGGTCCTCTTGCCCGAAGCTTGCTGGTATCTCAGAGGTCCTGATCTGATCTGATCATTTAATGATGTGCTGGTCGTTCCGTCTGCCTAGCTGTCTGTAGGGACGGCCATAGCTTCATGCACTTGACCATTGCATTTGCTCTGTGTCCTGTACACGGTGGTATCGAGAGCACTGGTCATGCACGCGCCTGGACCACTTCGGCTACCGTGTGTTTGAATTTTGTTGCTCTTCTGTAACATGTGTGTGCTTGGATGGGATCTTCGAGGCTCGATGTTGAATCAGAACCATGACCTTGGGTTCTCGGGAAACAACTTTGCCAGTGCTTTGCTTTGACGCATGTTGATCAGAGGAACCCCCTCAGCTCCTTGTCGCCCTTTGTTGTCATGACTTTGTTCATGCACGGTACTTTCGTGGTTGTCCTTTTGTAACGTACTTTTGTCATGCACGGTACTTTAGTGGTTGTTCTTTTGTCGTGAAACCTCGGGTGAGGGTTGGAATCCATGTCTTCTGCTTCGGGTAGATCAAGTGAGTTGGTACCACATACTCTTCATCCAGCTGGATTCCGTCGTCGGCATCCAAGTTCGGTTGTTCGGCATCCATTCATTGCCAGTGTTATTCTGGGTTGATCTGAAACATGGTTGTTCGCTGGTCGTGGGGTGACATATCTCATCGTTGAAGCAGTTCGGCGGTCCGTCTTGTGGTGACGACGGATAGAGGTTGGTTGATCACCTGTCATCCAGGACCAGGACCGTGAACCAGGAACAGAAACACACGTTCGTCTGAAACGGTGTCGGGCAATTGGGCCAAGATCCCGACGCAAGGGCGTTTTCCACAGGGTGTATCACACTCGACGATGAGGTGGACTTCCAGCCCGTTTTTGCCAACATGGGGAGCGTTGGCCAACTACCTTTCAACATCTCGGATGACTCATGGTGGACGTTCGTATCGACCCACTGTGCAAGACCGTCGAGTAAATGGGCACTCAGCGCCAGTTGGTGGAGAGCCAATCTTATGATGAAGCCATTTTCCAGCTGACCCTGCCCTCTCCGAACGAGAGCATCTGTAGGATGTAGGAAGGCAGAGTTTTCCGGGTACAATTGATCGCGTCGAAGGTTTTCCGGGTCGCGTATTTCGTAAGATGGTGTCTTTGGAGTCGGCCCTTTTCGGATCGGCCTGCGCCTGTGCTTGACTTGGTGAAGGACAATGAGTGTAACCGGGTGAGGGCATCGTGGACAAGGTCGAAGCGTCGGGGGAACTGGGATTAGCTCTCTTCGGCCAAGGCCCTTGAGGGCCCAATGTCCACTTTCTAAGAGGCTTGAATACTGCTGGAGGTTTCGGACTTGTCAGCCTGCTAGCAGATGACGGATATGAGTTCGACGTGGAGGATGACTAGGTGCTGGAATCCTAGCCAACACTACGGCTCATCGCTCCACTGCAGCAGGAGGAATCTTGTGATCTTCCTTTCTCATCTTTTTGTTCCGGCGACGAGTGCTTTGGTTTCTTCGGCACTGGAGAGAGGGCTTCAGGGTTGCCATCGTGTTCTCCTGTTTCTCTTGCAATGGAAGGAGTGTTCGACTTGATCCAGCCAAGTGAGGACAGAAGAGGATAGGTCCGGTAGGGTAGAGGTGAATTGTTGCCTTCTGGTTGATCCATCGTCACAAAAAATGCTCGCTGTGTACGGAATCCCTAAGCACAACCGCAGTAGGAATGTAGAATGACAGAGAAGTAGATAGAGACAGGATATGCAAGCTGCCTTTGCCTGGGACGGTACTATCGACAATGACAATGACGATGCATGGTATGTGGCCCGGATGTGATCTGGTGTATGGTTTGAGGTATGTACTCGGCTGGCATTGTTGCTATTGCTTGGACCGGGAATGGTAGAAAAGGGAAATCTGGATTGCAGACTCATGTATCAGTGATCATGCCTAGTCAGCAGCTGGATCGAAGACAAGTCAATCAGGTTGTGTACCTGGGTATGAGACGATTCTATTAGTAGTATGATCAGACCTGTGGACCTGAGGAGGAGGGCTCGACTGCAGAGAGGGTTGGCTCGAGTGGAGGATACTATCGTGTCTGATCAGCAACAGAGAACGGTGTCGACCATTGAGGACAGTTCCAAGGACTGAGGCAAGATCTTCACTGAAGAAGTCCATTGCGACCCGGCCCATGCCTGCACCTGCAGATTCTTGTCAAGAGGCTACCCGAGATCTGGACGAGTACGGCAGGCTGACCGAGATCATGACTCCGAGATCATGACTGCCCCATGATGATACCTCTGAGTGAAGTCGAGTGAACAATTCTCGGGTGTTGCCCGCAAGTTGACAGGGATAGATTGCTTTCTCATATGAATCGAAGGCAAGTTCTGCAAAGCCCATCAATTGGAAAAGACGGTCTGCCGAAGTCTGCGGATTGTGCGAGGATGGGAAGGTGTGAACATGAGACGTACGAGGTCCAGTTGCTGGACGCAATCAAGAAGGCGTCTTCTGGAAGCAAAGGGCACCAGTGGTGATAGCAATGCCAGAATACGTCATGGCTTCCGACCAGGAACTGGCATTGGACAGTGTAATCCAGTTGGACTATGCAGGACGGGCAGTCGGTACTGTACGATTCCTTCATGAGGAAGAACTGTTGGAAGAGTACATTGACCTGGGAGCATCGGGTGGAGAGCGCAGCTGCGCAGGCACAGGCGCAGGTTTCTTTTCCTCGCTGCCTGCACAACGAATGTGCACTGGGACCTGTTGCTGAGCATGGTCGATGTATGACGAGGGGACTTTCTTGCGCCACTCGGGATACCTTATTCTCGCCACAACGAAGTGGGACTCGACATTGGTAAAGAGAGAGGGTCACATCACCATTGGCAGTATGGTCCTGCTTCTGCTCTTGTCCGCCATTGTTGTCAAGATTATGATCGTCTGAATCCGGGTGTCAATGTTACTGGGGTCAAACATGGACATGCCTGAAAACCAGCACCTTTGCTTCGTGGAGATGGCTCGATCTTGATGCCGATTACGTTTGTGGACATCCCATCCTGATGATGGTGGGCGCGAGTAGTAGCGTAATGGAGGATTCTAAGTTCAGTGAAAGCAACAGGCTGTAAGTTGCAAGATGCAACCTGCACTTGCAGAGTGCAGATTGCAGAGTTACATGTTGTGAGATGTAAGAGTTGCAAGGTGCAATGTGCAAGGTGCAAGGTGCAAATTGCAAGTTGCATCAAGTTGCAGACTATAGGTTCCTACCTACCTCTCCATTCCCATTTCTCACGTCTGCCTCCCCTTCAAGGGTTCGAGAGGCGGCAGACTAGAGACCGACGAGCAGCATCAGCATCAGCATCAGCATCAGAACAAGGCACCACCGTTACCATCCAGGCCCTGTTCGAACTCACTTCACTTCAGATGCATAGTATGCATTGCAACGGCAATCCGTCAGCGACAGTTGCTGACGAACTGAGGTCATGACCAATTCCACTGGCGAACCATTCGGACTTTACTTTCTGAAGGCTGCCTGCCTACCTGAGATCTTTCATACATGCATGGCATGGCTCCCCCATTGGGCATGGGCATGAAAGAGGATTCTTGTCAAAGGTTGAAATGTTCCATGTTCGCTATCAAAGGGGTATGGTGAAGGCCCATACTGAATAGGTGTGCCTATACCAGCCTTTTGATTGAAGGGCAGGGTTGGGAATGCCTAAAGTTAGTGCCTAAGGGTGGGTGTCAGAATTCATGGTGCCTTATGTCGCAACGGTTGTGGAGTTAAGGCGCCATGAATTCTGACACCCACCCTCAGCTTAAGTTTGACAAGTTTGACAGGGGCATGGGCATGAAAGGGCGATTCTGGACCAGAAGCTTCAGGGACCGTCTTTGCTTTGGACCACCCATTTCAGGAACCAATGCTGCCTTGGCCTTGCACTGCCGATTTGACAACCCTCCATTTCCACTATGAATGCATAGAGGAACGACGTGACTAGACTTTCTAATGGAAATCAAGCCACCATTTCATCACTCAGGAGTCATGTCTGATTGCAATTCAGTGCGTCTTCTAAAAGATGTCTGTGATGACCTGGGATGACCTGGCCTGAAAATCTCGTGGGGTGGAGATGCACTCACTCCAGGTCGGGTCCGGCTCAGGGTCTGCGTCCGCCTGAGCCAGCGCTGGGCTCTCTTGGTTGACTGTGGCGCATGCCTGGTGTGGCGGTATATCAAGCGTGACCTGCACAGGCCAGGCCGAGCCGAACACGGGCCGAACACCACCGCCGTTATCGCAGTTTTGAGCCAAGAGCAACCACGTGACTAGCACATTGTTGTGCGCGCACGTGACTAAGGATTGGCGCTCGGTGGGCATATCCTGCACCTCGCGGCCGGGGGTTGTACGATTTGGGTGCCAAATGGGTGCCCTGAGGCATTCCGTCCACAATTACTCTACTAGGTGCATCTCTTGCTCGATCCGCGAGACCCGTAATGACCTCTGTGTGGGACAAATCGCAATTGTGCAACTTCTACGGAGTAATATTGAGTGCACTTGGGCTCGCCGGAGGGGGAATGTGTGGCATGGGAATGTGTGACATGGAGATTTGTGGCGTGGGAATGTGTGGTGTGAGAATGGAAATGTGTGGCATGGGAATGTGTGGCATGGGAATGTGTGGCATGGGAATGTGTGGCATGGGAATGGAAATGTGTGTCGACCGGTGCCTTGCCCAGGTCAGTGCGGACTGACCGGTGACTTTGGACTCTCTACGGAGTACGGAGTACGATAGCTGCAACATTGCATTGCTCCCGCCCACTTCAAGGAAGGTTGCCAACGTGAGGGGGGTCCTCAGTCCATGATGTAATTCGAGTGACATAACAATCATGTGCAAATCTCCATGGACGAATTGCAGAGGTCGGGTGCGATTGCAATATTGCAGAAAGCGAACATGTCGACCTTCCTGATGCTGATGCTGATGCACATCTGACATCTGGTGGTCAAATAGGATTCCATGAGCAGCGGGGCTGGCGATGCAAGACCTCATGGGTAGCATTCAGACCAGCGAGAGCCCAAGGTGAGGCAAAATGCAAGGCAAGTTGACGGGGCGAATTGACGAGTCGAGTTGATGAGGCAAAATGCAAGGCGAGTTGACAAGGCGAATTGATGAGGCGGGCGAGGTGATGCGTCGAACTGGACGAATCGAATCGACGAGTCGAATTGAAAAGTCACCGAGTCTGTGACAGGTCTCAAGCAACCAGCAGATCACGGGGGATAAGCACTAGAGGGGTCATGATTTGAGGGAGTAGCAAATCACGAGTCAACAAGTTACGGGGCGTAAGCACTAGTATATCACATGGGATAAGCACTAGAGAGAACTTCAGGGAGCAGCGAATTGCGAGGGGGGAGTGGGGAGTCACGGGGTGTAAGCACTAGTCCTAGTAGACTGCGAAAGCTGCAAAGCTGCCCAACTGCAAAGCTGCAAAGCTGTCCAATATGCAAAGCTGCCCAATATGCAAAGCTGCCCAATATGCAAAGCTACAAGCTGCAAAGCGGCCCAAAGTGCAAAGCTGCAAGCTGCAAGCTGCAAAGCGACCCAGGGTGCATCCAGCATCCAGCAGCATCAGGCCTCCCATCCTAGTAGAGTGCATTTTGCTGAAAGTGCATGCTGCAAAGCTGCCCAATTGCAAAGCTGTCCAACAGCCCTCCAGCATCACCATCAAGCCTCAAGAAAAGCTGCAAAGGTGCCCAATATGCATCCTGCATCCAGTCAGCATCAAGCCTCAAGCATCATTCCAGCATCAGGCCCTTCCATCCTGGTAGACTGAAAGTTGCAAAGTTGCAAAGTTGCAAAGTTGCAAAGTTGCAAAGTTGCAAAGTTGCAAAACTGCCCAATATGCAAACAATATACAGAGCGGCCCAACATGCATCCAGCATCACCATCAAGCGTCGAGCAAAGCTGCAAAGCTGTCCAATGCAAAACTGCCCAACATGCGTCCTGCATCACCATCAAGCCTCAAGCATCACTTTAGCATCCGGCCTCCCATCCTAGTAGACTGAAGCTGCAAAGTTGCCCAATGCAAAGCCGCCTCAAGCATCACTTCCGCATCATTCCAGCATGAGGCCTCCCATCACCATCACCACCTGACGCTAACAGTGTGACAGCTCAGTGTTCAGCGTCACCGTAGTGGGCCACCCCCTCATGAGCATCCAGCAAAAACAAGAAACAACCCCTGTTACAGCTGGTCGGACGCACACTAGGTCACACCAGCTTGCACTTGACAATCGGGCTGAATTGCCCCTCCCTCACCCTCGCCTTATGCAGTTTGTGATTGCCCAAGTCAAAATTGCAATTGCAAACTGCATACATGGCAAAAGCAAACATGGAGAATCTGCCCGGTGTTAGCCTGGCTGGCACCTATGGTGGACCGCCATCAGAGCAAGCCACGTCGATAGCTCGCAACCCACCCTCGAGTTTTACAGGTCACTTGCTCCGTACATGTGCGTGCCTTCCAAAGTTTGAAGCAAACAGCACATGTTCAACAATGGCAACCTGTGCAACCTCTGCAACCTCTGCAACCTGTGCAACCTCTGCAACCTGTGCAAGTGACAGCGTTACACCATGTGATAAGACAAATGCATCCAATCCAGTGTCAAAGATTGGCTGGTCTGCATCTACGGCTGCCTCATGATGTTTGTGGCTGAGACAGAAGACGCAGGGGCAACCACCGGCGACCGACCGTGGGCGAAAGACAGGTACTTGGCCATCCCCCCCAAACCTGACAACTTTTTCGACCTCTTTTCTCCCGCCATACATTCAGACGGAGCAGCCATCACGTGGTCCAGCCATCTGATTTCGTGGCTGGTGGTTGGAATGGTCACACTCCATGCGGCACAGCAGAGGATGCTTGTAGCTTGCAGCTTGCAGTGCCCTCTTCATCGACCAGACTGAGCGCTTAGGCCATTTGACCTGTCACTCGAACCAACTTCGAGGCCTCTGATTGGTGCCTAGGTGCCCGCCGACACTGCTCCTAGCACATCTCCCGTCGTGAGGCGGGACTGGATGTATCCGTACTCCATTCTCCATCCGTACTCCATTATTCTCCATTCTCCATTTTCCATCCTTCCTCCTTCCGCCTTGCTCTTCCCCTACTTTTGCAGTCGGCCCAGGGCTGAATCCAAGTGAGACGTGATCTGATCTGGCCCCGACCAGCTGCAAGGCGGCGGTGGTTGGCCGTCCAGTCGAAGTGAGACAGTCTCTTTGAGTCTACTCCGTACACTCCGGCCATTCGCTGCCCTCGGGGTCCGAATTGCAAGCCACCAACCTCACACCGGTCGGTCACTTACATGAGTACGCGGGACGAGGATGGTTACTGGATGCACATGTTTGTTACTTTCCTCAGTGCAGCAGAGTTGCCGTTTCCTTTGATGCAGCCGCCCGCTCTGGTACTCCGTACGTATCCCCTGGGTTTGAAGCCGGCCTGAGAGGAGACCAAGACACCTTTGCTCGACGGGACGGACCTGGCCACCTTATTGGCAGTACTTTCCATCCTGCCTCTGCCCACATGTGATCGCATACGAGACGATCGACGATCCTCATCGTGTTTTCAGCCGAGTTGGAGAACGGCCCAATGCCATGTCCCAATGTGATAGGCAAAAGGCTCACATAGATTGGCCCAGGCAGATTGCTCTAGTGTGATGAACCGACACTGTTAGACAGCCAGCACTTCCAAGCAGGTCGACACCCATGAGCGTCCTGCAGTATCCAAGACATAGCAATGCCAATGTCAGGTCCAGGAACATTCCAACCTCCTGTCCATCCTTTGTCTACGGAGTACAATAGTCGTGCTTCCCCCAGACATTTGACATGACACACAATAAATTTTGAGGAACCTTTCAGCCTGTCCTCGTTGGTCAGCACTCACACTCCGAGCACAAAACCGGCTTCGATCGCGCAATCTTGGGGACTCTCACCCTCACCATCCAATCATGGCTGACAACCAAGAAAGCTACACTGGAAAAGGCAAAGGCAAGGCCGTCGACCAAGACCTTGACATTGACCTTGGATCCCTCAGCTTCCCCTCCGAGGTGGAGACGACAAGTGCCATCTTCCCCGCGGCATTCTCGGTCCCGACCCAGCCCCTGGCCACAAAACCCATCTTTCCCAGGGAGCCAACTGCCACTACCACTGGTACAACCACTGGCACATCCACTGCCCATCCGGTCCCCCCGATCCGGCCCTTGAGTCCTGTCCATCCGGCACCAATGCCCCCGATCCGGCCCTTGAGTCCTGTCCATCCGGCACCGATACCCACGATCCGGCCCTTGAATCCTGCCAGCCAGCCCTGGAATCCTCCGAGCCAGGCTTGGAATTCCTACCCCCCCACCGGAATCTATCAAGCAGGCCAAAATCCCTATCATGCAGGAATGGTCCCACATGGGAGACTCGACAAAGGCAAAGGCAAAGAGAGAGAGGTGTTCCCACCGTATTCGTACATCGAGTACCCTTCTCCATTCCAATCTTTTGAGGAGGTGCAAGTCAGACGCAGTCAATCAGGCGGTGTGCTTGGGTACACTTTTGACTACGGAGAACAACAGGTGTTCTCGGCGGACAAGATGTGGGTTGAAACCAGACAGCAGGGCACCGTCTTTCTCGTCAACACAGGATGGCCAGTCTTTATCAAGCTTGGGCGTGGCGGATGAGATGGGAAATCGGATCGGGATTCAAACGGATATGGTATCGTGGTCAGTGCACAGGACAGCCATGTACTGAGTCGTCCATCACCTTGGACCAGAAAAGTTCGTCAGAAACATCGTCGGTGTAGCCTTCATCCAAACAGCTCTTCAGTAGATGCCTCCCTCCCTCCCTCCCTGCCCTGCCCTTGGTCTCTCGTGGTTGTCCTTACCTTTGGGGATGGTCACGGTCCAGTGTCTGTTATGTTTCACGACAGTAGTCGATGTAGCCCACTCGTTCCACGGGGTCAATCTTGACGTTCTCTGAGGACACCCATCCCGATCATAGATGTAAATGAGTGCAGCCATGGCATTCCATCTGCGACTTGCAGCCTGTAGTGTGGTGCAAGTAAGCAACTTTGCGCTCGGTAGTTTGCTACTTGACTAGTCGTCGCAACTTTGCATGTCGCAAGTTCAGAATGCAACTTCAAGTTGAAGGTGGCAAGATGCATCCTGAACTTGTATCTTGCAACCTGCATATTCAATAGCAAGCTGCAAGCTGCAACCTCCAACGAACTTGCAACTTGCAACTTGTGTCTTGCAACTTGACAGGTCAATTTACACGTTGCAACTTTGCATGTCACAAGTTGGAGTGCAGAGTTGCAAGATGCAAGTCGCTAGACACAAGTTCAAGTTGAAGGTTGCAAATTCAGGTTGAACGTTGCAAGATGGAAGTTCGCTACAGGCTGTAAGTTGCAAGATACAACCTGGGACGAACTTGCATCTTGCAACACAAAAGTACAAACTTGCAACATGCGAAAGACAAAAGTGCATCACCATAGTTGGGTGGGTAGCTGAATTACCCCGAGTTCGAATTCCCCCGAACACACCGAATCTCACGGAATCTCAGCAGTGAGTAGTGCTCAGCTTGCTTGAGTTGACTGGTGTGCCAGCGGCCCGTCACATGCAGTATCCAGTACATGCAGTGTCCAGGATATCCAGGATATTCGTAGAAATGAAGATGGAGATGCAGGTCAAGAGCAAACATGGATTCGGTGTTTTCGGGTGAATTCGGTTTCGGGGAAATTAGACAACCCGCCCGTTGTCCTGATTGGTCCGGCTTTTTGGGTAGACAACCATGTGAATCTCGACGTATATTTCCCGACTGCCATTGCTGCAGGAGTTCGGCAATCTCGGTGAACGGATGATGTGGCTCTGGTGCTGGTTGATGGTTTCACCATGACGAGATCCGCACCTTCTAGGTTTTGGACCGAAGTCGACACCGGACCGAGGAAAGAGAGGGTACTGTGAAGCTAAGGCGACATTGGTCAGCCGCTGAGGTCGTGCGAAAGCTGGACCCAGGAAGAGAGGAACGCTGGTCGGGGCTGAAGAAGGGGAGAAAGCCCGGTTGAGCGAGGCTGCACCATGCGATACCCTGTGAGCTGCAGGTCGCTGTCATTCAACGGGATGTCGGCAAAACCGATGTGCGCGAAGACAGGGGCCCTTCTTTACCGAGTCTCGTCTGCGGTGCAATGGCCATCAGATCTGAGTCAACGGACGAGCCCCGATGATGCCCTGGGCTGGAGCGTTGCGGTCCTGTTGCTTGATACCGACGGCGTGATGTCGAGATAGACTCACTCGTCGTATGGTGTGGTCCCACGATTCCTGACATCTAGGCGTCATGCTGGCTGGAATGGAGACATGCTCTCACCGGACTTTGAAGATACGATGCCGTGTGGACAGAACTTGAATGGTCAGTGGGATCTCAGCTGTTGAAATTCGGTTGACCGCCTCGGATTTCTTGAATGTCGGATCTTTTGAACACCTCGGATCTCAGACGTTGATCCTCCACCTCGACGTTGCACGTCTCCCGCAGAATGAGAAAGACGCAATGCTGGCAAAGAAATCAGCTCACCCGCGGTAAAAGCCAGCTTACCTTTGTCTTCCGCGTGCGCAGTCCAGTCACCGTCCGAAGCTGCTGGCGCCGGACCACCACCTGATGGCGCGGTTGTGTGAGATACTATCCGTCAGTGACCACTGCAGTTGAAGTGCAAAGCTATCAAGCACTCAGACGCTGCTCTGGTGACTCGGATCCCGAAACAGAACGCAAGGCGACGCACGTAGAGGGACTGCGTGAAGTGTGTTCAATCCAGTATGGATGCCGATTCCAAGTTCGAGTCCGAGTCCGAATCCGAGACTGAGTCCGAAACTGAGTACGAGTCCGATTGCAATTGCAATTCCGAAGCGGCACAAATTTGACTATCAAGCGCGGTTGCGCAAGTTCTGCTTGACTTCTACCAGATGGGGGCCGGTCTCGGATCGAGATGGATCTGACCTTGACCCGCGCCAGGATAGCCAGCCCGGGGCTCAGGGGAGCGGCGCCTCAAGACTTGTTCGATTTTGAAGTGCTGCAGCTTTCCACACGGGTGGAGAGACCTTTGCGTGAATGTCGTTGTGGGTCGTCGCACAGAGTCGACGGTGGGTTTGGAAATGGTCAACCTCGACCTCGACCTCCGAGAGCAGACCAAACCCACCTGCCTAACACACGGATATGACCCCCCGCCTGCAGTTTGATCTACCCACGCATCCGTGAATACTGTTCACGGCTAACACAAGCGTGGTGTGCAGGGGACGCTTTCTGCCTTCTGCTTTCTTTGCATGTTGTATCTTTGCGTGTTGGACCTTGAGGTGTGAAAAAGTACCTTGCAGATGAGCAAGCATCCGAGCATGCTCGAGCTGCGGCGCTCCAAGGCTCAATCAATGCCGCATTGGCAGCCGGGATTGGTGCCTGGGGGTCATCGCCCACGGCCATCAGTGATGACAGTACTGTGACACAATTTTCGGCCTGGAGATTGTTGCTGGAGAGGCAGGTCAAAGCAACCACCGTCAACCGCCGTCTTCAGGTAGCAAACCAGTCCCCACCGTGGGGGCCAATCCAATGATCAGGATTGCAAGGCACGACCGTTCTCGACGGGGTGAAGCCGGTAGGCGATATTCCAGGAGTGCAGGAACCTTGACCTTGAGATGGCGGCCATGAGTATCGACGCCTACCCTCTGGTTAGCTTTCGGTCTTGAGGCTTGGGCAAGCACTGACCTTATCCGGCTGAGGGATGAGTCCTCCAAAGGATCGACAACGGCGTCGGTGTCGGTACTATTGTCGATAAGGCTGTTCGACAGCTCTCCGAGATAAGGGCTGCTCGCAGGTTTGCAAAGAGTCTGACGAGTCTTGCCTTAGTAAACTGGATGGTGAAACAACATGGGAAGGACAGTCTGGTCAGAAAAGATCAACTCCCGCCGATCAAGCAGCGTGCCGGCAAATGAAGAGAGGGATGCAGATGCAAGATGCAAGATGCAAGATACCTGAAGATGGACACTGAGAGCTCTCTCGGTCACGCTCTGACAATCTCCTTCGGCCGGCCGCCGGGCTTGGACTCGGACTCGGACTCGGACTCGGACCGGGACTCGGGCTGGGAAGCAGATTCAAGAGGACGTTCAGGAGGGGGAGGTTCGGGAGGAACAGGATCGAGAGGACGTCCAGGAGGAGCTTGAGGAGGAGCTTCACGAAGAGGTTCGAGAGGAGGTTCGAGAGGAGGTTCACGAGGAGGTTCACGAGGAGGTTCGAGGGGAGGTTCAAGAGGAGGTTCAGGAGGAGGCGGTTCGAGAGGACGTTCGAGAGGACGTTCGAGAGGATGCCCCAGAGCAAGACCAGGAGGCGGTTCAGGAAGAGGACGTTCAGGAGGAGCTTCGGGAGGAGCTTCTGGAGCAGGATCGAGAGGACGTTCGAGAGGAGCTCCACGAGGATTTTCGAGAGGACGTTCCAGAGCAGGTTCAGAAGGAGGTTCAGAAGGAAGTTCGCGAGAGGTTCGGGAGGAGGTCGAGATGGAGGAGCAGGGAAGGATGTTCAGAAAGAGGCTCAGAAGGAGGTTCAGAAAGAGGCTCAGAAGGAGGTTCAGAAAGAGATTTAGAAGGAGGTCCAGGAGCTCCAGTGCCATTGCTGTTGCTATCGAAGGCAAGAAATCTGGTGGGATGTGTAGGGGGAGGTGGATGTGTGTCAAGGAACAAGATTGTGCCTGCGCAGCTGAGCTCGATAGAACCATTGCGGAGCCACACAAAGAATATGCGGGTCCAGTACAGAACAAGCCCCGCATGGTCACTCACGTCGTGTGGGAGCGCAGGCACAATCCGGGGACACTTGACACTGCACAAAGCACAAAGCTACCAAAGACAACCATTTCAGAACAAACGTGCTTGTATATGCACAGCATCCTTGCTAGAGGACATCTTCTACTGGTCATCGCAATAGAAACAAGAGATGCAGATGAGGTTGGAGTTGCAGTTACTTGTAAAGTTGCAGTTCTACTCCGCATGCTACTTTACACTTTGCAAATCCTCCATGACGAAAACAGCGCTAGAGGAATCCCGATTACCTTGCCGCCACCAACTATCTATAGGATTTTTTCCCCTCCTCGGTAGCCCAGTCGTTGTAAATTCCGTTCTCGGTGACTGGGTAGAACTCGGAAAGTAGATCCATTCGGCTCTGGTTCAGGGTTACTCCGGGCATGATGATGGCTAGGTAAGGTACAAGGTACAAGGTAACAGCACAGTATGTGCGCACAGTGCAGTCTCGGGTTCCATGACAAGCAAGGCCCGACGCGTTCTTTGTCTTTGCGATCAGTTCCCCTTTCAGTTTGTACTGTAGTCCGTCGCAGACTTGTTTCTCTGCTAACTTCACCGTGTGCTATACTCCTTTATTTGCCGGCTTGCGCTTCATCCGTGACTCAGTGCAATAGCAGGTGGGAACGGTAGTGGCAGGTGTCAGTCGGGCTCGTAACCAAGGGGCCTTCTATTTCCGAACGGACTTGGCTCTGGCTCGCGCCTTGATTCGGCTGGCTGCGGCTCACTTGCACTTATACTTGCACTTGGACTGGCACTCGGACTGCTGATTGCGAGAGTCGGTCTGCCGGGGTAGAATCCTCGCCTGTCTGGGTTGGGTTGGGGTCGGTTTGCCGAGGGTAGGACTCGCCTATCTGGAGCACGGCACGGTTCGTCTTAGGAGGCCGTACGTCACCAGGGCATTTGAAGCCAGAGATGTCAGGTATGAGTCGGCCATGCGTTCAGGGGCGCTTCTCTCTTGCACCGGTCAAGGTCAAGAATTGTGTACCCAGTCAATACATGCTGTTCTATGGCACAGTGCAGTGAACCGTTTCGCTCGCGCTATTGAGGTGGATCTCATGAAGGACGAGTCGGACTTCGGCAAGAGGGGCCAATGGCGGGCCATGCGGCGCAGGAACGAGCGGCACTTGTTCAGGTTGACGGCGGCGCCGTGGCTGATTCGGGAGTCGGCGGCGCAGGACGAGTTGGGCGGGCGTGATTTCTGACGCCCACCTGAATATCCATCTCATCAAGAAGCCATGGAGACCGTCTGGCCTGTGGTTTGCTTTGTGGTGCTATCTGGTAAATGGCCTTTTGGGAAGACAAGCTGTCGCGCCGCTGCAGCCATTGTTCATGCTCGAGTCTGACGACAGTGTTGAACCCTGCTCAGGCCTAACTGGTGCCCTCTGGTGCCCCTCGCAGGGTACATGAGCTACCTAGGCAATGATGGATGATCTCTCTTGCTCAGCTTTGTCCTCATCCACGATTCGCAGACTCTGAGCGGCTATCAGCCCTATGCCACCAGCAGTTTCAGCAGTGTGTCTCTCCTCCGCACCATTGCGACCGGGGCAGAGTATTGGTAGAGCAGTTCGTGGCCGCGATGGAAGTATATCTTTAAGGTCAGCTTATAGAAGTGGACGAGTGGTAGAAAACGTACCGGAGGGCATCGCCCTACATTGATTGGCAGGGAGCCTCAGCCCTGGGCACCGATGCATAGAAATGCAGCACGGAGCACAATTTGTTTTGATTCTGACCAGACTGACTTGGGGACGTTTCCTCCCACTTGGATCATCACTCGAAGAGTGATGTCAGCTGGGCTTCGGATAGGGGCTTCGGGACTGAGAGGGTCGAACGCCTCCGGCGCCAGAGCGAGGGCTTGTTCGAGATGGAAGAGTGGTAGAGGACAACGATGTCGTTGCGAAGTGAAGAGGACAACGATGTCGTCGGGTTAGGGTTTAATTGTCGTCTCGGCGACGACTCCCAACGTCAACTCTCGGCGATGAAGAGACAAACTGGTAGGGGATAAGGATGATCAAGAACAATGAAGAATGAAGGTGGAAGATGAGCACAAAGATGAAGATGAAGATGCTGTTCACCATACGAAGACACCAGGACCGCTTGGCGAGCAACAAAGATGACGTATAGGAGGCTGGCATTCAGTCACAGTCACAGTGCAAGCTCAGATCAAGAGCAGAGTCTGGCAGGTTGCTTTGTCCTCTCCTGAAACTGTCGACAGCCTCTCCGACAGAGAACAAGGACAGAACAGTTCCCATTGTTCAAGAACCCTGTGCAGTTCCAAGCCATGGTTGCCCACGATCTTGCTTGCTACACCCCATAGGCACAGCTAGGGTTACTGCATGGGACCACCGGCGAGACTTGGGGGATTTGGTCATCCTACCACTACGCATACGCCGCCTGGAACGAAGGATCTCATTCTCGCAGGTGGTCTCGATCAGAAGCAAGAATGTCAGCAGTCCTGGTGTCTAAATGATTGACCATCGAGCTGTGAACCTGGACGAGATTCTGATTCAGGTTCGGAGTCTGTGGTCTTGCTACTTAACGCTACGCGAGGATACTTAGCACATAACCCACGTCCGTGCCTCCCCCCCATCGACCAATCTTTCGGAACCATCTTGCACGATCCGTGAGAAGAACAGCCTCTATGCCTGACGGAGCTACACTCGTCTACCGGGTCGTCATTGCTGAGCACCAACGACGTCGCCTCGAGGGCATTTCTCTGTGTGATCTGGGTCGATGGCAGCAGAGGACAAAAACCGTCGAGGTTGTCGAGAATGGTCTTGGTATGCAATGGAAGAGCGAGGGTTAAAAATGAGTTGTGAGGACCACAATACCGTCGGGGGGTTATACTGCATTACGGACACCGTGGGTGAGATGCTATGCTGTACGGCGATCCAGGAATCGAAGCTAGAGACGACTCGACTGGACTCGACTTGTCAAGGAAAGCATTCGATAGAGCGGTCGGTTCCCTGAATGATCGTTAGACCTCGGCTGCATCTGCGATACAAGTTACAAGGTGTGAAAGTTGTAAGGATATCCCGTCAGACTTGGAGAGTGATACCAATCCTCGTCCCGGGTAAGGGCAGAAGAGTGCATGGTTATGAGAGTGCATAGATGTGAGAGTGCATAGTTGTGAGTGAGTGTGCATGGTTGTGAAAAGTGCACCACGGTTGTGAGTGTATAGTTGTGAGAGTGTATGATTATGAGTGTGTGGTTGTAAGAGTGTATGGCTGTAAGTGCATGGTTGTGAGTGTATAGTTGTGAGAGTGTATGATTATGAGTGTGTGGTTGTAAGAGTGTATGGCTGTAAGTGCATGGTTGTGAGTGTATAGTTGTGAGAGTGTATGATTATGAGTGTGTGGTTGTAAGAGTGTATGGCTGTAAGTGCATGGTTGTGAGTGCAAATAATATGAGTGCAGATGTGAGTACGGAGTACATGTCAGGTGTGAGCAGGTCAGGTCAATTATCCGTGGACTCCGTAGGGAGTGGCAGTGTCGACAAACTCCCTGACATGATCATTGCCGCAGCGCTGCGCCGCGAGTCGACTCAGTCGAGTCAGTCCAGTCGAGGTAGTCCAGTCGAGGTAGTCCAGTCGAGGTAGTCCAGTCGAGGTAGTCCAGTCGAGGTAGTCCAGTCGAGGTAGTCCAGTCGAGGTAGTCCAGTCGAGTTAGTCTAGTCGAGGTAGTCCAGTCGAGGTAGTCCAGTCGAGTTAGTCTAGTCGAATCAGTCGCCAGTCGAGTCAAGTCAAGTCATTCGAGTCAGTCCGGTCAAGTTAGTCCAGTCGAGTCAGTCGAGTCGAGTCGGTCGACTCTCCTCTCAAATTTTGGCGGGGAAAAGAGGTCGAAAAGTTGGACGAAAAGAAAATCGGCGGGGGATGGCCAACTATCCGTCGTCGCCACACTCGCTGACCCCTCTTCCATCTACCCCTCCGGTCTCCAGCCACACAGCCACACAGTACACGCCACCCTGCATCTCGAGTGTATCGTACACTAGTAATTCGCTTCCCCAGCAGGCTTGCGAGAATGAGACTCAGAGTGACACAATAATTACTCGCCTCGTCCTCATCCTCATCCTCGACGGACACGACCCTAGAACTCTGAGTGACTCGGGACGGCGCGCGTGGAATGGTGAAGGCGACGGCCCGGTGGGAGGCCTAGGTAAGCGGAATGGGGCCGAGTGTGGCGACGATGGATCGATGAAGGCTGTGGCACGCTCAACAGCCTGGACCAAGGAACCGAACAACCACTCTGGGTACCTGGGCACCTCGCACCTGGACCAAGGGTTAGGGCCTTGGCCAGTGGAAATCCAGCTCCATCTATCCGCACTCCGTACTGTGCTCCGTAGTGCGTCGGGCCCATTGGTTGGTGTCGATGGCTGTTCATGTTGATTCGTTCCAGCTCCACCAGCGAATGCGGTCGAGAATGGAAGGGCTTCGACTGTCTCGAGAGTCCACCGCGTGCATCTATCTGGATACTATGAGCATCCCAATTACAAGATGGGCATCTATCTACCATAGGCATTAGCATGAGCATCCAACACGGGCATCTGCCATAGGCATCAACATGAGCATCCACCATGGGCAGCAAGTGGCGTTTGTCCACCGACCTTTCTCGCCAACATGGAACATATTTCTCCCACAATGTCTTCGTCTGGACCGTCTCTTGTCTCTGGTATGATGCATCAATCCTTAATATACCTGTACAGCTGTAGCTGCAGGCTGTTCAGGTGGTGGGTGGGGGGTCAGGGTCAAGGGGAGGGCTCGCCACCCCATCCACGCCATGGTGGGGGGGAGAGGGTTTGGGATGCAACCGTCTTGTCTTTG